CCACCAGTGCTTCACTGTGTCCTGTTGTTATCATTAAAGGACGAATTCACGATTAGAATGAAGGTCGAAGAAGGAGTAATTCACCTAGTTGAGGGACCCGCGGACCTCCTAAGGGTGCGGACTGAAGCGCAATTGGCACCGAAGGAGTTGACCTCGGCGACCTATTAAGGCTCAATCTTGGCGCGGTGGGCCAGTGCACGCCCACCGATCATCTGATCACTCGCCGCAGGTCTATACGTGGCGAGTGATTAGATAGGTGAGAGAGCGTAGTGTTGAAGAGGGCACAGCGATGATAGTCGCATCAATGCTCAAATCAACGGGCAAGGAAGGGGTCCCATTTCTCGGGTTCTGGGCCGTTTCTCATGGTTTTTCCCTTAGTGTACCCACTCACCATCGCTATTCCAGTGTGAATTCCGTCTTGAAGGCCCTTTCGCTCTGTTGGCTTTTCTAGGATCTGGAATTAACTCCAATTCAATTCGCACCGCGCTTTGAAAACTGTTTTTTTTACTTACGAACCTGACCACTGATATTTCAAGTTAATGAAAGTATATTCTTTCAGATTACAGAATAGCGCCAGACGATTGTCGCAAATGATTGAACGTCAGCCGATCAGTCCCGTGCAGCTTCTGGTGAGATGGTCTGAATTCGTTGCCGAATTCAAAACACGCGTGCAAACCTCGAGCCAGCAGGAAACAAACTGAACTTCTTCCAGTATCACTCTTTAGATGTGATCGCATTCTTAACATCCATTCTGGACTGTGATTTTACTACTGGTTGTCAAAGTGGCCACTTTATTTTGGAGATTTGTATCCTCAAGAATCTCAAAAATAAGAAAGCATAAAGTGGCATAGTTTATCTAACTGTCGACTAATCGCAAATTGATTTAGGCTGTTGTTTGTGTTTTGTGTGCTTTATAAATGTATTTTGGAAAAAATAAATTCAATTATATATTCCTGCTTCAAGCAAATCTGATCAAAAGTGAGCTTTTGATTCTTTTTTAATCCACGTCCATAACTTACATAAATAAAAAAAGGATAAAGCATTTGCCGTTGATCAATCCCTTTTTGGGATGCGGCACGCATTCTACTTCCATTTGTACATTCGTAGTGGCGTTTGAATGCGATGTGGCCTATACAATGACTTGCGGGGGCCAGCCGATGTACAAGTCAGTGTTTTTATCCTCCCAGACAAGTCTGGTACCAATTAACCGACCCCGGAGGGATGGAAGGCTTGGTTGGCCCGGGCGACTCACGACCCAGGATTTGATCCCCGGACCGCTCGCGTGGTATAACTTACATAAGGAGAGGAAAAACCAGATGGTGTGGTAAAAACGAATAATGTAATCAGAATTGATCACTGTCTTTTCGGGATCCTTACTCATCAATATTTGAGCGTTCGCGTATTCGTTCCAATGGCTGAAGGAACTGCCACGGCAGAATTGAGTACTTTTATTGTAAGCAAGCCTCTTGATAAAATAGGTGTGGAAAGCGTTCAGTAATGAAGCTGGAGGTGGAGAGTGGTCTGAAAAGAAAAAGAAAGCAAAGAGAAACCACCGATTACGCCCCGAACAGAGACCTCCTCTATTTCAGCCGCATTCCACCTTGGGATAGAGAAGGGCGTGTTGGACGAGTTTCACGAACCTAACTCAGTTGCTCCAGTGCCAATGACATTGGTCGCAATGGCAACCGCTGCCGCAACTGCGCCCGCGCTTTTCAAGCAGCGCCACGTGGCAACCAACAGCGGTAGGCAAGACCTGCGGGGAGGATTGCGGGTCCAGCAAGCATCCAGCGCCTTTGTCGCGCACTTTCAAGCCTCAAAAGAGGCGCGATCATCAACGCCTGTTCGTCTGTCTACTACGCTCGAGGATGGGACAGATGAGCGTGCCTAATCCCGGAGCGTGCCTTTAAGTCAGACGAGGATGGTCTTCATTGGTCGAAATCGGAGATGAAGAAGCTGGATGATTTAGCTGAGTTTCGATTTGGGATCTATGAAATTTAACATTTAGTGAGGACGGGTCCTATAAATCTCTAATACATATTTATATTTGCATTACCGCCGAATAATCTCACAACATCGAGATTGAACAGCTGAAAAAGAGAATTGAACAGAGCTCCTACAAAAGCAGTAAGGTATATCTTGATCTGTACTGCATACCTTTAATACTCTGTGGAGACTATTCGGAAAATCCATTACAATCAAATCCCTTTCACTTTTGAGCCTTCTCCAAAGAAAGCCTTCGTGCCTTCTAATATTAGTCCGGAATTGTGGGGACGTCAAAGCGACAACGATAGTTTTACATGTTGTAATTCCTTTCTTAGTGATGCGATCGTGAAACTTCCGGGAGTTTCCAGTGTTTGCGACGTCATGTAATCATTTGTTCATTGATTGATATAGGATCTGTAATACGTAGTCTTTGTGTCCGGAGACAGGTGTGTCTGTAAATGCAGAACAAACAACACATGCTACAAAGAACTGCAAAAAATCTGATTATTGATAGTTAACAGCGACAGATGATAGCTGATTATCATAGTTGTAATTAGTGGCAATCAAAATAATGTAGCCGCAGTCGGCTAAACATCTCGTTGACCGGAAGCTGTAACATTTTGTGGAGGCCGTCGTCTCTTGTGTTGTTTGGTTGTGCATTACAGAAG